CGAGCTGGAGGGGCTGCTGGGGTCCGAGCGTGCCGCGCGGCGGGAGGCGGAGGAGGCGGCAGAGGCCGCGGCCTCGTGTCCACCCTTCGCGGGGGGGGGGGGGGGCTGGTGCTGCCGCTACTCTGGCTCCTGCGGGCTTCCGTCCCGCCTCCTCCTCCCTCCTCCTCCTCCTCCTCCTCCTCCTCCTCCTCCAACTGCTCCCCATCTCCTCTTCCGCCTGCGCGCCTCCTCCCCCTCTCCCTCCCCTGAGATCCTGGCGGCTCAGTCTTTCCGAGCCGGGCGTCTTCTCCCAATGTCAGGCCCTAGGACCCTCACAGATCGATCCGGCTCGAAAAATGTCGCACGAAGATGGGGTCCGGGGGTCCGGTCGTGTTTTCTTGCGATGTTGCAGTTTTTTGCAACGTCGGATCTGAGGGGGGAAGGACAACTGCACAAACAGTTTCCCTCTCCTCTCCTCCCCCCCCTCTTCCCATCAAACAAGAACATCTGCGTAAAGTGTTCGAAGTGCGCGACGAATTTCTTGATCAAGCGCTGGGCCCACCACTTCTGGCGCGCGGAGCGCGCCCAGGGGCGCCGCCAGAGGGATCCGCCAGAGGGATCCGCGCAAGGTTCGCTGCGGCTGGCGCCGGCTCCCCGCCTCAGGCTGGGTGGCCCACTCTGCGTCGGCTCGATGCAGGTCAGGAGGGGAAAGAACACACACACAGGGACACAAAGAGTCGTGGATTCCCACGGAAGGCGTGGGAAAGTGCGATCGTTTTCTTATTCATTGTCCTGCCGATCGGCGCGGGCCCGCGCGTCCCACCCTCCCCCCCCCATGGACCAGACCTTGCCTGTTTTGGGCGCCTGTTTCAGGCAGGTACAGTCTCCCGCATACGACTCACTGTTGCAAACAGTCGCATTCAGCAGAGGTCCAGAGCAAGACACCCCGTCCCCCCCCCCGCCTTCTGCCCACTGTCGAAGCGCCGGATCAGAAGACGCTCACGTATGGGAAGTGGGGGGAAGGCGGAACTCCAGAAGCCGTGGAACCACTGGGGGGGAGTCCTGGGAGCTCTGTGTGTGTTGCCTGTGGTGTGCCTGGGCCCCCCTCTCGGGCACGCGGCATCAGCACACACACAAGCACATACACACACACACACACACACACACACACACACACACACACACACACACACACACACACGCACACTCCCAGAGGCCTGCACCGGGACCTCTCCTGGGAGCGCCGCCGGGCCACCCGCCACGTGCCCCGTCGCCTCCGGCGCGGCTCGCCTCGCGGCGCAGGCGCGGCGCTGAGGCAGAAGGGCCGCTCCGGGTGGCCTTGGGGCCGCCCACGCCCACGGCCACGCCCACATCCGCACGCAAACCCCACGCCCACGCCCACGCCACGCCCACGCCCACGCTCACAACCACGCCCAGATCCGCACTCAAACCCCAGCCCACGCCCACGCCCACGCCCACGCTCACACCCACACGCACATCCGCACTCAAGCCCCCCACGCCCACGCCCACGCCTACGCCCGCGCTCGCGCCCGCGCACACGCCCGCGCAGAGGTCCAGGTCGGGGGGCCCCACGCGAGGCCGAGGCTCGCCGTGCCTCCATGCGCGGCTCCTCGCGGCGGAGACGTGGAGGTAAGGACCGGCTCCGGGCTCGGGAGGGTATCTGGTTTTCGAGCCGCTCCTTCCGTCGAAGTGGGAAAACACGCCACAAACATAATCTTTTGGCGCTCCGCGCGGATTTCTTGGATCCGCGCTGGGCCCCCCTCCCTGGCGCGCGGAGCGCGCCAGGGGCGGCGCCGGAGGCGCCGCTGGGTGGGCTCAGCACAGTTCCAAGAGATCCGCGCGGAGCGCCAAAAGTTTATGTTTATGCCGTTGTTTCTTATTACATATCTATTCTTTTCACAGTAGGAGTGGTCCTAGAGGTCTTGTGCGAGGTCTTGTGCGGCCTCGTTTAGGCTAATGTCTTGGGCGCTCTGGGCGTCGATTCGCGTTCTCTTGCCTCGTTCTCCTGCGCAGGTCGTCGTGTGCGCGTCTTGTGCGTGACCACTCTGTGCTCGAACATTGTTTCTGTTCATGTCAACGATAGTAGGCCTCCTTGATGGGGTCGGAGGATCGCGCCGCTTCGCCGATGCATCGACGATGCGGCTCGCTGCGGAGCCCGATGTGCTTCGCGCCGACGTCGCCGCTGCACCGCCAGCGTCGCTGGGATCTTCGGCGATGCACCGGCGATGCGGTGCGTTCCCCCGACCCCGCCTGCTCCCGACCCCATCCGGGAGGCCTCCGTGGGAGGGCCCCTGGTCCTCGGGGGCAGCTCCCCCGCTCCATAGGTCGACGAGGGCGCGAGAGCGCGGCCCAGGCCCGCCGGGGGCCCGGGGGGGCGCCCCCTATGCGCTCCGGAGCGAGCGCGCTCCCTGCTTTACACTGCGGCGCGCTGGCCGTATAGCGCGCTCCGCGCGCCTGGCACCCGCCTCCTCCTCCTCCTCCTCCTCCTCCTCCTCCTGCTCCTCCTCCTCCTTCTCCTCCCTCCTCCTCCCCCTCCTCCTCCTCCTCCTCCTCCTCCTCCTCCTCCTCCTCCTCCTCCTCCTCCTGGAGCAGGCTCGCGCCGCGGGCCGCAGCTGCTTCCGAGGGAGGGCGAGCGGCAGGGCCCTATAAGCCTGCGGGGGGCTCCGCGCGGACTTCGCGGCTCGGCGCGGGGCCTCCCTGAGGGGGGCGCCTCGCGGGCGGCGGGCCTCCGGCGCGCTCCGCTCGCCGCGGGGAGGGGGCCCAGCGCCCAGCCCCCGAAGGCCGCGCGGGCCTCAGAGAGTCTATGTTCATGCAGGTTTGAATTCCCCTGCCTCCCCAGACCCCCTCGAGCAATGAAAAAATCACGACGGGAGGTTTTTCCTAATTTTCGGCCTCTGGGGGCCCTCACCGGGCCTCGGGAGCGTCAAAAAACGACTCAGGATGCAAAGCCGGTCATGGGGAAAGGGTCGGGACCTCTGGGGGTCGACGTAATGAAAAAATCATTACGTCGGGGGTCTGGGTCGGGGGCGTGCCCCGGGTACGAGTTGGTGGGCTTGTTTTCCACTGCCACCACCACCACCGGAAATCACAAGAGGAACAAAATCCTCCTCGTCCTCCTCCTTGTCCTCCTCGTCCTCCACCTCCTTCCCCCCTCCGAGCTATGCTGGTGGTGGTGGAAAGCGGGCCCATCACGAGTTGCGCCGCGGCCGCCCGCGGCTCAGCCGAGAGGTGCCTGCCCACGGCCTGGGCACCTCGAGCGCGTCGCGCGGCCCAAGGCAGAGAGAGCTCCGGGGCGGTGCTGCCGCGTCGTTGTGAGAGGCTGCCGGGTGATATGGCTCGGCTCTCCGGGGCGCCAGTTGGCCGTCTCGTGCCCGGTGGGCGAGCCTGGTCCTGGCGTCGTCGCCGTCGCATTCGCCGCGGCTTCTCCTGCGTGGAGGAGCTCGCACGGGCACGCGGGGCGGCCCGGCGGCCACGGGCCGCCCCGCTCTGCGACAAGGCGGAGGGAGCGTCGACTCGTGTTGAGCTGCGGCGCGGAGATGCCCCCCTTTGTGGAACAGGAGAGTTGTGGACTTATAACTCAGTTATGAATTGAGTTACGCACACTTAGCTAACTCATTTATAACTGAGTTATAGATGTTCTCATGTTATGTGGCATCAGCGCGCAAATTCACTGATCCCGAAGGTTCGCTGTCGGAGCAACTGATCACAACTGGCTTTAATTTGTGTTAACTGATGCTAAGTGTTTTCGGGCGGCCGCTGTGGGTTTACGACGCCCAACTGTTTCCGCGTCGTCAAATTACGTGTTCACGATAGTGTTCGCCCGACCTCTCTCTCTCTATCGCTCTCTCTCTCTCTCTCTCTTCCTCGTTCTCTCCGTTGGTTTGTTGTGTTATCTCTCTCCCTCTCTTGTTTTTTTGTTTCTCTCTCTCTTTCTCTCTCTCTCTCTCTCCTCCCTTTGGCCCAGTGGTCGCGCTCAGGCCAACCAAAGCCAGGAATCGAGAGACAGAGAGAGAGAGAGAGAGTGGAGAGAAAAAGAGAGAGAGAGAGAGAGAAAGAGAGAGAGAGAGAGAGATGGAGTGTCCCGAGCCGCGCAGCACGCTGCGGCGGCCCGCTGCTCACTTAGGCGTGGAAATGCCGAAACTAGGGCTTGCTGACCCACCCTGGCGCCGAAGCGGCCGTTAGGCTCGAGCAGCGGATCGAGTGAACGATGCACCCTGCTCTGTCCGTGGCGTGGATATTGCCTTCTCTAGAGGGCCCCCCTAAGGAACACCAAGCTGGCCGGGCAAGGCGGCAGAATGGACTGGCGCCGCGCTGACAGAGAGGCAGAGATACAGAGAAACAGAAATCGATGCCTGCAGGCTTGGCCGACACAACCAGCCCGGCGGCCCCGCCAGGCTGACTGTCTCGGCCGAGCGGGAGCCCTTTCGGTTTCGTCTAGCACCGTCGCTTTCGCTTCCAATCGCCCTACCGTTCTCGCCGTTTCCAATCGTTTTCGTTCAGCCCCGTCGCGTTTCCGGCGAGCCCCTTATTTTCGTCCAGCCCTTGTCGTTTTCGTCTAGCCCCGTCGTTCTCGGCGAGCCCCCTCACTTTCGTCCCGAACCCTCCTTGGGACCTCCTTTGCGCCACGCGCCGAGACCCCGCTGCGCAGCGGCGCGCTCGGGGGGCGGGGGAGGGGGAGGTGGAGTTGGAGGAGAAGGAAGAGGGAGGGGAGGATGAGTGCAACCGCCTCGTTTGAGAATCGCACCGGCTCCCGACCACAGAGATCGGCCGGCTGGACGCGCGGGCCGCCAGGGAGGAGACAGGGGCGGGGGGGGGAGGCCCGCAAATACGATGACGACGACGGACACGACGACGAAGACAACGACGACGACGGGCGGCAGAAGGGAGGGCGCAAAGAGGGAGGGCTGGTCAGAAGCCTTGCGCTAGACGGCACGCTAGCACAGGTGGACAGATGCACTGCGTGCGCCCCTGAGCGGAAGGCGTCAGATCTGGCCTGCACCTCACGACTCAACTTCCTCTGTGGGTTAAAGTGGGCCCAGGATTCGCGCCGCGTCGCACGCGTTCTCGGGCGCAGCGTCGCGTTCTCAGGCGCGGTCCGCATGATTTCTTGAGACGGCCCCAGCGGGCCCCAAGGCCGAACACCGAAGCGAATTGGAGATCCCGCTGTGTCCAGAAGGCTTCGAAACCAAGACTCGCCAAGTTGTGTGATGGGATTTCCCCCCCGGGGTCCCTTGCAAAGTTTGCGGGGGAGATTTCGGGGGAATCCTAAAGCTCCTTGAGCCCGTTTTCAGGAGGCGTGCAGCTGGGTTATTTGCGATGCGCATACGGGTTTCTCAACAGGGACCTGCGTCGTATGTTGCGTGCTTTTGTACCGACCATCGCAGGAACGATGCCCAAGAAAACTCTTTTGGACACTCATGGAAGACACTTGTGGGGGGAAGCTCCTGACGCGCACGCCAGGGGCATCGAGATAGCGAGGCCGCGCCTGAGATCGCGCGCGACGCAACGCGACCCCCCGACCCCATTTACCCAAACCTTTCCGTGGTCGAGCCGTTTTTCGCCCCCTCTGGCTGGGCGGAGGGCTGGGCGCCAGAGTCGGTGATCTCGGAGGCGGGGCTGATAGGCATCTCGGAGGCGGGGCTGATAGGCGACAAGGCCCCGTCCTCGCGCTCGGCCTGCCAACGGAAATTTCGAGCGCTGAATCGGGGGATTGCGGGCCGCCGCTGAGGTACGGCGAGGGCATTGGATAAGGAATCATTTGATAAAGAATCCAGAGTCTGGAAGCTGGCGGAGCTCCCTTCTGTGGATCGGCCGTGGGCATCCCCGCAGCCCTCATCGGATAAGGAATCCCCCAGGGTCTGAGGCCTCCCCGGCACATTCCTTATCCAACGCCCCCACCGTAGTCTGCAGGGTTGAGGGCTGAGGTTCTTCCTCAGTTGCTGGTGTCGACTCAACGACGGCCCGCTGATCCGTCGCTCGAAATTTCGCGCAGCCGCCGCCGGCGCGACCGCCAGCTTGCGGCGCATCAGGGAAACCACCACCTTCGCCTCGCCCTGCACGATGCGACGAAACTCCCGAGCAGATGATCCGCCTAATCCCTCCTCTTTGTTTGGGGTTCAAATCGATTGCAGCTTGTTGCATCCGCCCGCGGGCGTAGCACCTGCATCCACCCCTGGGCGCGGTCCCTGGACCCCACCGGAAGCCCCACAAGCTCGAGGATCGACCCTCGATTCCCCCTCCTCCTCCCCCTCCTCCTCCTCCTCCTCCTCCTCCTCCTCCTCCTCCTCCTCCTTCCACCTCGACCTTGATGCCATCTGTTCGTTTCCCAAAAGCTCCTCCTTCGAAATAAGTGTCGGCGCGTGTGTCTGCGAAGACTCTGCCCTCCCAGGGGTGCGACTCCTCCTCCTCCTCCCCCTCCTCCTCCTCCTCCTCCTCGTCCTGCTAATCGTCCTTCCCGTCCTTCAGTCGGATCATCCGCTGGGGAGTGTCGGCTGCCTCCACCAGCGGCCTTCAAGGGGAAGTGACAAGTTTTGACCCCATCTCTCGAAGATCGAAGGTATTTTTTTGCTGCGCTTTGCTTCGAATGGTATCAGCCCGTTTTTGTGGGCCCTAAGGACCTCCGAGGACCCCCAGGGAAGTCCAGGGCCACGGGCAGCGTCTAAACTTACCAGGGGCGGGTCGACAGAACCATGAACACCATTTCTTTTCCAACGCTCCTCTCCCTCCTCCTCCTCCTCCTCCTCCTCCTCCTCATCCTCCTCCTCATCCTCCTCCGCGCGTTCCTCCTTCCTCACCCCTCCTCCTCCTTCCTCACCCCTCCTCATAGGGCTCATGCGGCTCATAGGGCTCATAGGGCTCATAGGGCTCATAGGGCTCATAGGTCTCATAGGGCTCATAGGGCTCATAGGGCTCATAGGGCTCATAGGTCTCATAGGGCTCATAGGGCTCATAGGGCTCATAGGGCTCATAGGGCTCATAAGGCTTATAGGGCTCATAGGGTTCATAGGGCTAGGGCTCATAGGGCTCATAAGTCTCATAGGGCTCATGGGGCTCATAGGGCTCATAGGGCTCATAGGTCTCATAGGGCTGATAGGGCTCATAGGGCTCATAGGGCTCATAGGGCTCATAAGGCTTATAGGGCTCATAGGGTTCATAGGGCTCATAGGGCTAGGGCTCATTGGGCTCATAAGGCTCATAGGGCTCATAGGGCTCATAGGGCTCATAGGGCTCATAGGTCTCATAGGGCTGATAGGGCTCATAGGGTTCATAGGGCTCATAGGGCTCATAAGGCTTATAGGGCTCATAGGGTTCATAGGGCTCATAGGGCTAGGGCTCATAGGAATCATAAGGCTCATAGGGCTCATAGGGCTCATAGGGTTCACCCCCTCTTCCCCCTATTTTTTTTGTGGCGCCAGCGGATACCTGCCGATCTCTGCTCTGCCTATTGAAAGTGGGTCTTCGAATTTCCTTCCGGCGCCGCGCCCCTCTTCCCCCTCATTTACCTCCTCTTTCTCCCCCTCATCATCCTCTTCCCCCCCCTCCCTCTCCTCGGCCCCCTCTTCTTCACTATATCCTTCCTCCTCCTCCTCCGCTTTCGTCCATTGGGACGCCTGGCCCACGTCGGCAGGCGACTGATGAGCGCCTGGAGCGAGCGTGGACCGCGCGCCCGTTGGCCGGCCCCGCGCTTCTTCGCCTCGAAGGTCGATGATGAGGATTCCCATTCGAATCAGCATCTTCGCCCTCGCCGTCGTCGCCGTCGTCCTCTTTAGCGTCGTCGTCGTGCCTTGCGGACGGCCACTGGGCTGCCGCCAGCAGCCTGTGGGTTGCAGCCGGCGGCCTTGCTGAGAACCCCCGGGGGCAGCAGCCCGGGGCGGAAGGGCCGCGGGAGGACGGGCCGCATGGCCTGTCCTGGAGGCATGGCCCACCCTGAGGGCCGTCCGGGGGGGGGACTCGCTGCTGGGCCAGCGAGAGAGCCTGGGCCAGCGAGAGAGCCAGACAGAGACGGAGACAGAGACAGACAGAGCGAGAGAGAGAGAGAGAGGGATAGAGAGAGAGAGAGAGAGAAAGAGAGAGAGAGAGAGAAAGAGCCGAGACAGCAGGCCTGGCGGCGCCGCCGGGCCCGTTGCCGCGACCGAGAGAGCGGGTGGAGGGGGGGAGGGAGGGAGGGAGGAAAAGGTGGGTACAGGGAGCACTGGGATTCCAGTGGCCCCGATCAGCCTTGCCAAGTGCGGGGGCTCCTGTGGTTCTGATTGGCGGGGTCAGGATGGGCCAGTCCATTGCAACCAGCTCGATACTAGAACTCGCGGCTCCATGCTGTACTGGGCCGCTTGAAACTTGGGAAACGAGTGATGCAGGACGAAGGAAGACGAGGAACGAAGCAAGTGGGATCACGCGCCCTCCGCGGCCGTTCCCCTGGCCTTTGGAGGGGCTCAAGAGGGCCCCAAGAAGGCCCAGGAGGAGCTATATTGAACGGGCGGGTCTCTCTCTCTCTCTCTCTCTCTTTTTTTTTCTCTCTCTCTCTCTCTCTCTCTCTCTCTCTATCTGGGCCCTCTCGGGGCCCTCTAGGGCCCCTCCGAGGGCCCTCTTGGGCCATCTTGGGCCCATCCTGGAGCCGTCGTGGGACATCCTGAGGGCCCTCAGAAAACCCCAAGACGGATCCCAGAGGCCTCCAAAAGGGGCCCAACGAGGGGCCAAACCACATTATAAAACCAGCCGTTCTTATAAGCTCACTTCCTGCCCTGGGACGGGCCCGCGGGGGCCCCAAAACGGCTCCAAGAGAGCCCCAAGAGGCCCCAGGAGAAGCTATATTGAACCCGCCTGTTCAATATAGCTCCTGCTAGGCCCTCTTGGGGCTCTCTTGGGCCCTCTCGGAAGAGCCCGAGAGGGCCCCAAAATGGCTCCAAGAGGGCCCCAAGGCGCTCCAAGAGCCCAAAGCTGGGGGAGGATAAGCAATTTCTTTTGCTAGTACTTCAGCCATGTACCGACGGCCGTAGCCCGCGAAGATGAGCGCATCGACTGGAGGAAAAAACTCATGGCTACGCGCCCTGTGCGGCCTCCAGCCAGGCAACATCCACGCAGCCTCAGTAGTTCTATGCGAAGCCACTGCGCATGCAGTCCCTCCTTCCCCGCCTCCTCTCCCTCCTCCTCCTCCTCCTCCTCCTCCTCCTCCTCCTCCTCCTCCTCCTCCCCCCTCTGATGTTGAGAGTCGGATGTCATCCTGGCCCCCCGCCCCAACACAGCGCGACACGCCGGCGTCCACCCAGCAGCGCGCGGCGCGCCAGCGTCCACCCTGTCAGCCTCCACCGGCCCGCACTCCGACCTACAAGCCTCTATATTTCCACCCACCCTAAAACCCGATAGCCCTCTAGCCCTATATCCCCATAGACCTCCAGCCCTATATCCCCATAGCCCTCTAGCCCTATAGCTATATAGCCCTATAGCTCTATAGCCTTCTAGCCCTATAGCCCTACAGCCGTATAGTCCTAATGCCATATAGCCTTATATGCCTATAGCCCCATAGCCCCACAGCCCTACAACCCTACAGCCCTACATCCCTATAGCCCTATAGCCCCACAGCGCTACGAACTACAGCCCTATAGCCCTGTAGCGCTATAGCCCTATAGCCCGATAGCCCTATAGCCCAGTAAGCCCTGTGGGTAAATGTTGAACCGCGTCTTAAACGACAGCCGTGACACCTCCTCATCCCCGCCCCCCTTCCCCTCTTCATACTTTCTCATCTTCCTCCACCGCTCAATCCATCCTTGCCGTGCGCCGCTTCCCCGCCCAGCGCCGCCGAACTATACATGCGGGCGGGGGGATCGCAGCAACAAGCGAGTAAATGCGCCAAGCAAGGTCTGCGTGCGCACCACGCGCCAAACTGTACATGCGCAGGGCAGATGCCGATCCTGCTCAGCTCACTCGGTCGTGAACTCCACGAGCGAGCTCCACGCCTTGCGGGGGTCCGCCTTCCAGCTGAAAGAGGCGTCATGCCTGTGGCCTGGCTTCCTCACGCGCCACGCCTGCTTCGTGACGTCGCTGTACACCCTGTAGTCGCCAATCCAAGTCGCCTCGGTCTTGCGCTTGGGGACCCCTGGGAAGCTGGTGGCCGCCCGCCCGGCCGCGCCCTTCTGCGCCGGGGGGGTCAGCCTGGCCTTTTTCACTGCCTCGGTCTTCGCGGCGGCCGCCCGCGCGGCCGCGCCCTTCTGCGCCGGGGGGGTCCGCCTGGCCTTCTTCGCCGGGGAAGCCTCGGTCTTCGCAGCGGCCGGCCGCTTCAGGGCCTTCTTCGTGCCCGAGCGGGTCTGGCTCCCCGTGCGATTCTTCCCCTTGGGCGAAGGCGTCCCGTTCGGCGCCGAGGAGTCCTTCGCGCGAGCCCGCAAACGCGCCAGCCTGTCGGCGTTGGCCGCTGCGTCGGCAGGCGCACGCGCGGCGACCCCTGGAGCTGCAAGGGGCCCTGCAGGGGGCCCTGCAGGCGCCGCTTCGCAAGGAGCTGCAAGGGGCCCTGCAGGCGCCGTCTCCTCGCTAGCCGCGGATGCCTGGCCTGGGGCGACCATCTGAGCAGGCGCGGGGGATCCCAGGGCTGCCGCCGAACTCGCCGTCGCAGGCGCGGGGGCTCCCGCGGCTGCTGGGTGTGCCAGGCCGTCCGCGAGCGCGAGCAACCCGCCGGCGCGGGCGGCGGCTTGCGGGCGACTGTATATAGTCAAGCCCGGCAGCTCGCCGCCCGCAGTGGCCGCCTGGTCCAGCAGCGCTGCCTGCAGGCCGCTCGGCGCGCGGCGCGCACGGCGCGGGGCGCTGATCGAGCTGTGGCTGATCCGGCAAGGGGGCCCCCTTCGCAGCAACTCCACCCTTAACGAGTCCACGGGGCTCGGGAAGACTGGGCGCGTGTCTGCAGGGAATGCCTTCTGGAATAGTTCTGGATGAGTCCTTTCGAGCTCATTCGGGTTCTCTGGGTAGACCCGCGGGACGTTCCCCGAAGGCACGTTCTTGCGCACCGCCCGCATCAGAGACTTGAAGTCGTTGATGTGCGCGATGACTGCTGCTGAGGAAGGAGCCACCGGATCGGGCTGCCTCTGCAAGATCGCTTCCGCCAAGAATGCGATCACGTGGGTGCAGGTCTGCTCCGAAGGATATAGGAGGCCCAGGTCGCGAAAGCGGCCTACGACGATCTGGAGCTTCCGGCTACCAGCGAGGCAGGGGTCGCCGAGCAAGGTCCACTCCTGGTGCGTGAAATCCACCACCGTGCCCCTGGCACGTTGCGGCGTGGAAGAATGTCGAGTGCTGTCTGGTAGGGCTTCTGTTTTTTCTCTGACCCCCCCTGTTATAGCGCCCCGTCGCGAGCGCCTCCCGCCACTCCTGGGGAAGTGGCCAAAGGCTTTCAAGCCAGCCCTGCAGTTCCCCCTGCCCAATACAACAAACCGCGCCCCCCACCTTATCGTCGTCGTCATGACCACTGCAGGCATCGTCGCCGTCATTCGAACAACTGCCACTCAGGGTGAGGCCTGAACTGCGGCGGGACTTGCCGCAGGTTGCTGAATAATTCTGCGCGAAGACGTTCACCTGGCCAGTCGTGCGACTATCCGCGAAAGCATTTGCTCCAACGAGGGCGTTGATGGCACTGGTCAGTTCCACGCGATGCTGCAACGGGAACGTGCTGCCCGCGAGGGCGTTGAGCAACTCCCCAGCCCTCTGCGCCGAAAAGCTCGAGACTTGCGAGAGAGCCTGGCGGACGACGCCGCACTGCTGCGCATAACACGCAGCAAGAACGTCCGGGGCCGCGCCCGCGCGCACGTTCGCATCGAAAAGGCCCTCAGCGACGCGAATGGCGTCGAGAGCGGGGTTGGATGCAGACATCCCGCGGTGAGAGGAGAATCCAGGCAACGAGAAAAGCAGCGCGCCTGACGCGCTGGGCCAAAACGGCTGCGAGAGGGAGCATAGGTGGGAAAGAAGGAGGTGGAGTGGGCGGCCAAGACTGCGGCAATGCAGCGTGGGCCCTCCCAGACATGCAAATATGTATTTGCAGAAATGCACGACGATGGAGGCGAGGCGGGAGCACGCCTCTGATGTAGTTGATGTTGCCCCGTGGGCATTGCCATTTGGAGGAAGGGCGGAAACCTTGTCTCAGTTTTAACCCTGCGGGGCCTCGTGGGGCACGAAGTGGGACAGGAGAAGGAAGATAAGGGGAGAGGGGGGGGGGCGGAGAGGAGGACAATGAAGTGAGAGGAAAAAGGATGGGGAAATGAGAGGAAGGAGGAGGACGAATGAGGATGATTTTGCATTGCATCGCAATGGTAATGGTGAGTTGCAATATTTGACAATATTCTCAAACTACAAAACTATACTCCAGCCACTGAGTAAAGTGGTGCATACTTCGTCTGCGCCCCGTCTTCGGCGCAGCAGGATAAAGCACAGCAAGTGGGGGAGAGAACCCCACGGCTACGCGCCCTATAGCGACTCCACCCAGGCTGCATCCTCGCGGCGAAACAGAAAACAAACGGGCCCCGCGCCCATGCGCAGGTTGATGGCAAACTACGTGTATGCGGCCCCTGCTGCGGCCGACGTCAAACGGCGGCGTTGTTGAGTTCCCTCTCCCTTCCCCCATGTTCACTGTCCCCTCCTCTGCCTCCTCCCTCCCTGATCCCCCCTCGTCCTCTTGTTCCAGTTCAGTCGGGCCCCCCCATGGCGTTGTCGTTGCCCTTCCCCTCCCCCATGCGTCTCCCAATGTTGCGCCCGCCTCAGTCCGCGCGCGCGAAATAATCCTTGAGAGTCACCTTGGGCCGCTTCCTGGTAGCGGCGCTGGCCTTCGAAGGTTTCTTCATCGCGGCGGGCCTCTTCTTGGCGCTGCCACCCATCTTGGTTTTTTTGAGGAGGAGCGCCGTCACGCGCTTGGCCGACTCGAGCGCAGCCGTTTGCTGCGCTGCCGAAGGGGCGGGTGCAACGGGCAAGTCCGCCGGCCCCTCCAGTGAAGCGCGGTTGTTGCTCGAGTACGGCAAGGCGCCCTAGCTGTGGCGAGGCTCGTCTGAACCCAGACGAGACAGCGGGCCTGGCGGCACCGCCTGGTCCGTTGTCTCAGCCGAGCGCCTTTCGTGGGATCGGGGGCGGCGGCGAGGCGGCGACGATGCGCCCACCATTGACCCCCATGTGCAATCTGCGTTGCCGATCATCCAAGTATTGCTGAAAAGGCCCGGAGGAATGGGTGGCGAAGCCGACTAATTGTTCCCGTGCCTCTGGGCCAACACTCGGAAAAGCGGATCCAAATTAGCGGCCAGCAGCGCCGTGGGGTAGCTGTTCCCGGCGGCCTGCACGCAGAGGGCTTCGTCCGCCACCTTGCCGGCGATCTCCTTCGGGAAACCTTGGAGCGTCAGGCGTTCTGTCGGTGCAAGGTAGCGGGACAGCTTCCTCTGCGACTGCGGGATGGCAACCTCGCCGCACCTCGGGGGACAATGTCACACGTTTGGGTGCGCGCCCCAAAACATTCAAATGTCGCTCGGGGCGGGGGGGGGGGGGCTCCGGGGGGGGGCACAGCGAGGGCGAGAAGGGCGAGGAACACCTCCTTCTCCTCCTCCTCCATTTCCTCCTCATCCTCCTCCGCCTTCGGGGTCACGAAAGTTCTGGGGGCATTAGCCTGGGGTTCCCGCCTGGGGGCATTAGCTGGGGTTCCCCATGGAGCCACGAAAGTTGAGAGAGGTGTGCCGAAATGGCGCGGTGGTGCCATGCGAACTTTCACACTGGGGCCTTCGGTGGAGCTCCCTATGGGGCCCCGAAACGTGTGAGGGGTGTGCCGAAATGTGTGGCGATGCTAATGACGATGGCGGCGATGATGATGACGATGACGATGGTGATGGCGATGACGACGATGATGATGATGCTTCTGATGATGATGGGAGGAGGGAGGAGGAATGATGAGGAGGAGACCTGGGGCGCCGTGTCTTCAAAACGAGGACCCAACACCACAGGATGGCTGGGAAAACACCTATTGTATTTGGTTCGGCCCTTCGCCAGGACAAGTGCAAAAGCTTCTGTGGCACAGCCAGGCAGTAGTATTAAATTCCATCCCTGCCACCGCATCACGAAGATGTACTTGTTGTGCGTGGTGAAGGTGGGCACGACGTTGACGTGAACAGGGGCCGCGTACACCTTGCCCGGCCCGCGGTCCAACGAGAAACTGATGACGTCGTGGGGTTCGACCTGCTTCGCCAGGAGAAGGGCCCGGACGCGGCCCTCGTAGTGCGACAAATTCTTCCGCAGAGCATGCGTGAGCGAGTCCAGCGGGGTGGGCGGGAAGTCGCCCAAGGACTCCTCGAGGCGCGTGGCGGGGAAGTGCGGCAGCGGTGGGGGCACAGAATAATTGGCGGCCCCCGTCGGCGCGCGGAAACCGACCAGGAAACATCTCTTGCGGAGAGTCGGGAGTCCATAGTCCTGGGACTCGAGCACGCGGAAACTCCAAGAGAACTCCGGTGCTTCCTGCCCCAACACCAGCAGCACCTTTTCACCGAAAGACTCGGACTCCCCAGCGATTTTGTGCAGGATGCCGACCACGTTCTCGAGCACGGTGAACTGCAAGGATGCCTCCTTGATGAATTTGATCACGAGCTCTAGGACGCGTAAGAACACGTCCGCACGTGGGTCGGCGGCGCCCCCCCTCGACCCCTGCGCCGACCATGGCGGGCAGGGCGGGCCCGAGACCAGGCCGTCGCATGGTCCTTTGAAGGACGCCAGGCTCGGGCGAAGGACGTCGCCTTTCTCCTTTCCCACGCGCAAGCCGCCGACAACGAACTCGCCCAAGTGGTGCTGCAACAGATCTGCGTACCCTTGTTCGAGGTCGAAGACGTGAGCGGCCGAGTGCGGCACCTCCATGTCTTTCAAGGCGAAGCCGCAGCCGTCAATGCCGCAGCAAGGGACGGCCACGACGAGCGGGCGGCCCAACGGAGGGACCACTCCTGGCCGCGCGTTGCGGTACCCCGACAGCGGCGCGGGCGTGCTGGCCACGAGCTGGGGCACCTTCGCGCTCCGCGCAGCTTTGGACGCAACCCCCGGCATCGCGGGCAGGTGTCGCTGGCAAGCGTCGCGGGCAGTCGCGGCCTGAGGTGTTTGCAAGCACGAAAATGTCTTGAGCCAGACGGGCTGCAATGGGCGGGTTGTGCAAATGGGGAGAAGCTCGGGCGCCCCGCGAAATCAAATATCCAAGCGAGAAAGGCGAGGAACACCTTCTCCTCCTCCTCCTCCTCTTCCATTTCCTCCTCATCCTCCTCCGCCATTGGAAACGCGAAACGTGTGACAAGTGTGCCGAAAATAACGTGGCTGTCGAAAGCGGGCGGTGGTAGTGGGAGTTTCGGTGGGGCTCCCCATGGGGCTACACATGCTGGCGTCCGGCGGGGTTCGGCGTTAAAACTGTTAAACGCTATCGGGGGCCATCCCCAGGGCTCAACGGTGTGCCGAAATGGGGAGGGGCCGCCATGCGGTCGCTGCCACTGAGGCCTGACTTCCAGCCCCCTTTACTGGGCCACAAAACGTTTGAGGCGTGCGCCGAAATGAGGCGGGGCCGCCATGCGGGCGCAACCACTGAGGCCTTCGGTGCAACCGATGCATGGGTCCGCGAAACGTGCGAGGGGATAGTGGCGATGATGACGATGATCAGCCTGTGCTGTTGTGATTGCCGCCGTTGTGACAACCGCAGTGGTGAGTATTGTCTTCGCTTGAACTACCTCCCAATGGGGCCACAAAACGCAGGGGCGAC